GCAGCTAAAAGATGATAAATAGAGCTAAGGGAATAAGCAAAATAGAAAGCTAGGAGACAAAAAATACTGTGGTCCCATTTCCCTTCTATCTTTGCATGGAGTGAGAATTTGTCTTGCATGGTGACATGTCCATGCAAGGTGACGTGGGATTTTTTAAAGTCCAACAATTTCCCTTTGGCAACGGTTGATGCCTAGGGAAACTTGTAGTCGAAATTTGAATTAACGCGTTTTAATGGGTGCATTGAGGATTGAACAACAATGAACTTGCTGAAGAATAAGAATGTAGGTGCTGGTTTACAAGAAACAATAATAATGCTATAGAGTTTAGTCTAATTGTGGAAAAATATCAAAACTTTAACATGTTGTGATTCTAGCTTAGTCTAATTTGAATAAGATCTGCAATTAGATATATAAGTTTTGTATTAGCAGATTTTAATAGTTGATTTGACTGGTGATCATTGTATTAGCATTTATAAATGAGGGAAAAAGTTATATTCCCGTTACAGAACCATTCCATGAGATTTTGTAACCGTTAGATTATCATGTAATCGTCGTGGATAGTTGATCTAACGGTATGGCTCCGTAAGGGACCGTAAAATCTCCCATAAATGAGTAGGCTTTTTCTAGTTAAGGACACGATGACCATCAAGTAAAATTGCTAATTTCACGCCGATCGAGCAGTGGCTCTCCATGTTCGAAACGCCCGATTTGATGACGTGGCAAGACTCCCAAAGCCGGGAGGTCTCGTCCATGTACTTACATAGAAACTATTACTTAAAGTAGTAAGTCAAAGCTTTATTTTCTAAAGTCAACCATACTATTTTTATAATTTTTCAACAACCTCTTTATATTACTATAGATAATTTTGAATATAATTATTATTAGTTAATTATTCGTGACGAAAATAATCACTTTGATAGCCCAATATAATTGTATAGGATTGAATCTGATACTTATGGATGATTCTGTTGTGACTAATATTTAATTTATGAACATTGCCCTATTGATGAAGCTTGGTTGGGGGCTTTTAACGAAGCCCGAGGCCCCTCTGGGTTCGTGTTCTACGCGCTAAATACATCTCCCCTACGACGGATGTGGCTGTTCTTTCGTGTCGCAAGCGATCGCCGCTAATGCAAGCCCTTGTTTCGGTGGGGCCACATGTCTCGCAAGGGGTCCGGTGGGTTATTGGTGATGGTCGAACAGCCCGGTTCTGGTCCGACCCGTGGCTAGGTACGACTGGTCCGTTGCGAGCTCTCCTTCGTCACAAGATGCTTGAGCCTGCCTTAAATCTGAAAGTGGCGGACATGGTGAACGAGCATGGGGATTGGCGATGGGAGTCGTTTCAAGGGTTGCTCCCCTCATTCGCGCTCCTACGCATAGCCGCCACACTTCCTCCACGTGTGTCCGCCGGCGCTGATCAACTGTCTTGGGGGGCCGGCTCCTGATGGTCGCTTCTCGACTAAATCAGCGTATGAGTTGCCTGTTGCTCTCACAGCCAATGTGTGCGCCGTCTACTCCCATCTGGAAGATTATTTGGCGAGTCATGGTGCCCCAATGACTCCGCAATTTCTTATGGCTCGTGAGCAATGACCGGCTGCTTACAAATGTGGAGA